TACTATTGGATTAATATTTTTTTGTTTTGAATTGGCTGTGGAGACGAAGGAGGTGGCGCGGGTGGTTTGCTTTGAGTAATTTTTTATTAATTAAGATTTTTCCGCTAAAAGAAAATTTAACTAAAGATTTTGATTTTATTTTTGGTTAATATTTTATAAGTTAAAGAGTTAGAGCATCTCTAATGGTGCTATTTATTTTTAAAAGTATCTTTCTCATAAATAAATAGCATCTTCATTAATTTTTAAATATAAAAAACATAATTTTTATTCAAATCTAATAGACTTTTTAAATTTAATGAAGATACTTCTTATTTTTAAGAAAGAGACTTAATGGGAGAGAAAAATAATAAATAAAATTCATAGAAAGTTATAGTTTATTAATTAAAATTACGATAAAAAGTGAAATTTGACTCTCTAGATGTGGAGAGTGAAATTTGACTCTCTACTTTTTAATTTATATTTTAAAGATAAAGAGTCTGTTAGACTCTTATTTTTATGGATTTAAGAGTTTAATTCATATAAAGGGTCATTTGAAGATATTCTTTTTACTAATTTATTGATTAATGATTAACTACAATTAATTTTTTTTTAAAATAAAATTATATTTATTGATTTTGTTATTTATTATTTTGGTAACGCAAAAATTAAGGTTAATTCTATTAATTAACAAAAATTAAGGGATTTTGATTTTGATTGGGCAATACTACACTTATAATCCAGTCACACAAATTTTCTCTCATAACCCTGACATGACAGCAATTGGTTATCTCGCAAATAGATCTCGCCTATCGAATTATGAGCTAACCAATTACGAGTTGACACATCGGGGTTATAAAAGAAAGTTTGTAAAATTATGTTTTGAGCCAATATTTATTGATTTTGTTGTGGTTAGTGATGAATTTGGAAAGCGAAAGATGAGGTGAAGTTTTGGTTTTTATGTGTTTAGAGATATTAATGGTGAAAAGTTTTGATTTTGTGTACTGTGGGGTGACAATGAAAGTAATGAAGAAGATGGTGCTGGTGTAAAATATGAAATTTAAAATATATATGGCTATTTTGTTAATTTTATTAACTTGGGGTTATAATGGAATTTATTAATTTATTTAATCAAGATTTATAAGAGTAAATAGGTTATTTCAATGGTCAAATCTGGTCAAAGAGAATTTTTAATAGAAGAAGACTAACGTTGGGTGGAATTTTGATGGTTTTTTTGGTTTCAATAAAACTCGGGTGGAAAAATGAATTTTGGTCTTACGAAAATGGCACTTTGTAAAGACTTTTCTCTGAATGATTTTATGATTTGGCATTCTCATGGGCAACCCTGAAATGAAATAATATAACAAATCTAAAACATTTTTAGAGTTAAAAAAGACATACCTTGAGATTTTATTAAATAACCCAAAAAAAAAAAAAAAAAAAAAATCTAAATTTGTAACATGACAAAATTTTTCTTAATGTTGTCAAGCTGTTAGAATTTACATGAATATATAATTATTTTTTATAATCACTCTTTCGTTGATATTTTAATATATATGATACATGAATTTTATTTATATTAATAATCTTCCAAACATGAACACCATGAACTTCCCAATCAGAGTCACAACAATGGATTAAAGAAGCCCCTCTAGTTCATTAACAGCTTCATCCACCACTTCATCGACTATGTTAAGGTTGGATTGAGCAAGAAAGCTCAAGGGTGTTAGAATATTTCTCACTAGATAGCAGTGCAACATGGATATTACTTAGTTTACTCTAATATCTCAAAATAATTTCTGGTGATGAATTTGTTTGAAATTAGAAGAAAAACAAATTATATATAAAGGATGTTCTTGGATAGAGGAAATATAAAGAAGTATATATAATGAAGATGAAGAATGGTGGTTAGTTTGGTAGGTGAAGTTGTTTACATGAGAAAGAGAGATTGTTATATAATATATGAGTTGTAATGAGGCAATCACGAGGGCAATATTGCATTACCTAACTACCTTTTAAAATAAACAATCCAAAAAATCTCTACAAAATAGGTTTGGGTCTACTTAGTTTATTATTCTGATACTTTTTAGAATAATATTTTGAAAAAAAGTAAAATTGGGTTGGTTATTACGATGTAGGATTTAAAAATTTATAAAAACACCCCATAAGTTTGTTTATTTACTAAACAACCCTATAATAAAATATTGAAAGTTAACAAAAATACCCCCACCTACCCATTAAATACCGACAGCCGACTAGCACCACCGGAGGGTGGTCGGAGTCGTCGTATCGACGCACGACCGATCAGATCCAGCTGATCGTGCGTTGATATGACCTTTTCCGGCCAGATCCACCATGAATTTGGCCGAAAAAGCCTAGATCGGCGCATTACCAGCTAGATCCAGCCGGTAGTGCGCCATTATACCAGATTCCGACAGTGGTGGCAGGAATCTGGCAAATGTGGGTTGTTAGGGTGTTTTTATCAATTTCTAAAAAAAAAAATTTAGGGGGTGTTTAGTTGATTAACAAATCTAAGGGGTTTAAAAATATTTGAATACTATAGAATAATATTTTGAGAATAAAGAAATAAATATGTATTTTTTGATAAAATAAGGAATAGAGTAATAAAAAATTGTACACCAAAGGCCCGATCAATTTCCCATCCTGGTGACTAGTGTAATTCTAAACTAATTAGAATTATAGATAAGGCCGGTTGCACAAATAGAAATAGTGTATCTCATTTTAATTCAAACAAATCTAAAATTGCAATAATAATAATCTTTAAAAAATAATAATAATAATTTAACTTTTGTTCGAATTGTTCGTTAAAAGAATAAATTTCTTGTCACACCAATTCCATTGGTGATCACACCATTAGCGTTTAAAATTTAAGTTTGTGTAACATGGTATCAAATCACTGTTAGCATTGTTTGTGTTGTGTTAATAATGTGTTTATATTTTACTTATGTTGGTTACTTTTCCTTTTTGCAACCTTTTTTAACATTGGTGAGGGCATTAAGGTCATTTACCTTTTCTACCATTAAAAGTGATCAAAAGACATTGACGATAGCGGTTGAGAGTAATTACTAATTATACTAATGAACCCCTATATATGAACAATAGCACTAACTAATTATACTAATGAACCCTTTATATGAACAATAATATTAACCTCACCAATCCCTCTCACTAATCTCTCACTAACCCCATGTGAGAGTTTGTGATTGACTTAGATAGACGGGACTTATTATTGGACAAGTGGGACCTATGTGAACTGACGAATTGTGAGTTGACACGTGGCGTTAGTAAGAGAAAGTTCATAAGAAGTGTTAATGAGTGTAGTGTTACTCTTATATGAAAATATCACTATATTTTAATATTTGAGCTTGTATATATTAGTTTTTTAAGCCTATGACTCTCGATGTTACTCTAAACATGAAAAATGTTAATGATTTAAAACCAAGAAAATTGGGATTGAAAAGCTTGTGTTTATATTTTCGAAAGTGGTTTTTTTTTTTTTTCTTCTTCGTGGTTATCAATTAAATATTTTTAGTAGTGGTTTTTATTCTTTTTACAATAAAGTTTTGAGTAAACGACATGTTCCCACCTAAGGTTTGATGAACCTGCTAGTTCACATCCCTGGTTTTATAAATTCCAAATTTTTACCCTTAAATTAACAAAAAATGGTTTAATTTAATGGTTAAATGGTAAATTGGTCATTTATATTGCATTAAATTTGAAATAGAAATAAAAATTTCAAAATAACCCTCCAAATCTCACATTTCTCTCACAAGCACCCTCCACATCTCAAGTTTGAAATATGATGATTGTACCCCTATGACAGAAATGCGACTTGGCAGCTTGTGGATGACAAATAGTGAGTGTGGGAGGCCAGTGGAGGTCTGTGTTGAGGAGAAGATAGGGGTTCGAATGGTTGTGAAATAGGGTATTTCTGATGTCAAAACCAGCCAGAATCTGGCTGTAACTTGGAGATCTCGCAAGATTGAGGGGCTTTCAGCTGGCGATTTGTGGGTGCATTGGGGTGGGAGTGTGAGGGATTTTGGTGATTGTGGCATGGGGGTTCTGCTGGTGGTGACAGCCTCAGGGGAGCTTGGTGATGTTTGAATTGGTTGGAAATGGCCTAGGAGTGGCGGTGGGTGAGACTAAAAGTCGCGGAAATTGCACAATCAGGTTGCCCTAGTGGGCGACAGTCAAGTGAGGGCGAGGGGTGCTGCTCCTAGTCTCCTTTGTGTCGCTACTACCGTGGCTTTGGCCTATCTATGGTGCCAATTATGGTGGCTAGGGTTTGCCCATCTCGTAGGGGTGCAATGAACAAGCTTCCATCTTCTAGGGAGGTTTTTGATATTTAGTCACCACAATCAAAAGTAAAAGTTAAACGGAAGTTTGGTAATAACACATTTTATATTGTGTCAGACCCTAACATTGTTAATTTAAGGATGTGAATCTAAAATTTTTGAAACAAAGGGTGGGAACATGTCGTTTATTCTAAAGTTTTCAATAATGATAGGGTGTTTTTAATAATTTTAGAGAGGGGTTTATTTTTTAATATTAAACTCATCTATTTCGTTTGGACTTAAAAAACACTCCTACTGTTGGTAATATAATATGTTCGGTTCTATCCAATTTTAAATTCAAAAGTTTGTCTTACCCCTTCTATCACTTACCAACTTAAAACAATTTTTTTTTTTATTCCTCATTATTTTTATAAAACATTTAAAAATTGTTAAAATGCTAGAATGATTTCCACATAATTTGTTATTCTTTTATAAATTTTATATTAATTATTTTGAGGAAAATACATATTACCAAAAATACCATTATTTTTATTTTGTCTTAATTATAATTATAAACATACTAAGAATAAATGAGAACATTTAATAAGAATAATATTATATTTATCAAAAATTTTAAACTTATGATACAGTTAATTCATTTTCCGTAGTTACAGAAATATCCTCAAACTTTTGCTTCTCTCATCTCTTACAATCCCAATTTATCGAAGACACAAAACCAATCAGGGATAATTCAGTAATTTGAAATTTCACGTCTCTATAGTTTTTCTGAATCAATCCTCATCGAAAAGCCAAGGTTAGGGAGGACTCGAACTCCAAGCTTTGTCGACCAGGAACTTGAAAATGGTAAGTATTAGCTTTCAAAAAATTACCGATCTTTGAAAATGGTGTCGCATTTTATTATAATTACTAAGGAAGATTCAGCTGAGATTTAGAATTTTCACTTATTTCAGTCTAATAATTCATGCTTCCTGACGAGGATGATATGTGTAGTTTAGTTTCGCTGCTTTTAAATTATGCATTTGAGTGCATTAAAATGTTCACTTATCTTGTTATAAATCATTTTTCTTGTTCCGTTTGGTTGTCGAGAAAATTTCAGAGCTGAAATCTTGTTATAAAACGTCTGAGTTTCTGTTACCTTAGAGTATATTAAACGGTAATAAAGAATAAATTGTAATTTTGTTGAGAGATTGGTCGTGGGCTTTGTTAGTTTACAAGGAATTGCGTTCGATTTTGTGTTTATAATTTTGGTAGCATATTGATAAAGGTGGAAATTGAAATTTGAATTTGATTTCATTGATGACAATGTTTTGAGTTGCTTAGGACTTGTAGAAACTATAACTTTTCATTTTTCAAAACATTGGTGTCACGGTTATAGATTGAAGTGTAATTGCATAAAATGCAAGAGCTAATTAGCTGAATAATCTGATCTGAAAGCCTTTTCCAATCATCCAAAGGTTGATTTGTTTCATTTACTCTTTGGTGTAGACTAAGTTTATTGTAAGTAAGGTATCTTGATACGTTGACAGAAAGAGAAAGGAAGCTCTTGCATGCAGGCTGTTAGTCGAACTACTGTTTCTAGTTTTTATTTGTTTTTGAAGATCATTGTGTCGTAGGGGCCTATTTAGAGGTGGAATTTTTGCTTTTCTTGGTGTAGAGTAGGTTTATTGTAAGGTTGCTCAAGTTTCAAACAAGTTCTTCATTGCAAACTGTTAAATCACTGGGTGTTATAGCATGTATTCCTCCCACCTTGCTTACTGGGTAGGGGTAGTTGAAGGTTTTCTTTGGAGCCAAAGTACAAATTTCACAAGGATACTTTCTCAGTTCATTGTTATCAATTGAATGATTTCCTTCAGCATTCTTATTGTAAGAACCTGCTGTTTAATCAGTCACAGTGGATACCGTTATCATATATTGACGATCTTGAGAATATTTCATATTATAGTGTGAGCAATGTAGCATACCTTTGTAATAAGACATGTATTGAGCTTTGCATAATTTTCTTTCTCTTGAGCAGGATGCACAGGATTCAGAAGATCCGAAACAGAGCACTGCAGATATGACAGCTTTTGTAAGTACCTATGCAAGATCTCACAAATATTTGTTTATCATCGTTTTCATCTCAAGTAGATCATTTTTTTTTTTTTTTTTTTTTGTTTTTTTTGTTTTTTTTTTTTTGTTGAGGTTGTCACTGTTGAGAATGACTGTATGAATAGATTCTTTGTTCGAGATTTTATGATATGGTATTTAAGCAGAGCATACATATTTTAATGATAACAATCAGGACGTGTATGAGCACTTTCATCTTTTTAAGCTGGAATGTCATAGTACGACTCTCTGTAAAATCATGGTTAGGATCTTCATGCATATATACCATGGAACGCTGGAATGGGCACATCATCTGTGCATCTGATGCTCCTCTTCCTTTTACATAATTTGGCCCATGTTCAATGTCCACTATATTGAACAAGACACTGGATGGTTGTGATGCCCTGGATGTATGAAAGAAAAGAGAAATTCTATTGGGTATTTTGTCTAAAATTTTATCATTTCTGGTCGTTTGCAATGTTACAGTTGTGTAATTGAATTAGTCCTGAACTGTTGCTGAGTCCATTTAATTGTATTTGCAGGTCCAAAATCTTCTTCAGCAGATGGTTTGTTTTCTCTTTTCCACTGTATAAACTTCTTTTGTGAAATACTGAATGTATTGTGAGATATGATGCATTTCTTTTATTGTTTCATCTTGCAGCAATCTAGGTTCCAGACAATGTCCGAGTCCATCATTACGAAGAATATCCTTTTCTATTTTGACACATTAATGACATGTAACTGGGGATTTAAAACAATTATAATCTTAAAATTATGTGTCTCTTCTTGGGGGTTGTTCTGACATTTTGGGGAAGTTAGATTCGTTCATCCGTAGTAGTATTTGAAAGGAGTCCATTACTGTTCTGTGGTATCTTGCTTCACTCTATTTATGATCATGTGTTACATAAGTTCATTATCTCTTGAATTGTTACATTCACATTGTTGCAATGACCTCTTTTTGATTTTTGCCTTCAATTTTTGGGGTTAGGGGTAGGGAGTTAAGCTGATTTTAGAGAACATCATATGCTTCAATGAGACTTCATACTTGACTTTAATTTCTTGTGTTGTTTAATTTTGTTTGTTTATACCCTTATGGAATGTTTGATCTTAAATGCTGGACTACTTCTCTAAGATGTTATGGAGAAGCTTGTTCAATTCACAAGCTTTGAATTCATTTTGCACATTGAATTCTATTGGCTGCATTGCTGCTTATACCGTAAAATGTGTTGTATGTTTTCTAACACACTTGAAACTGAGGTGCATTAAGTGGATTTTTGGTTTCCTTGATTACAATTGCACTCGATGAGATGGGCAACAGGATAGACGAGTTGGAACAGAGCATCAATGATCTCAGATCCGAGATGGGCATAGAGGCCTCTGCTCCTTCAGTTCCTTCCAAGCCAAAAGATGAACCCAAGACAGGCAATGATCCATCTTAAGGTTTGTGACACCACACAATGTCAGTTGAATACTGCATGGATTGCTGCCATCTTTTTGTTTCTGCATCTGTCATCTGCAATACTAAAAGTTTCAACTTTAAAAGCAGATGACTCTCCAGAGATTTGTAATTAAGGCTATTTTTTATTGTTATTTTCAGTAAGAAATTAATACATATGTTTTTCTGATTGACTGCAGAAATGGCCAGTCTGTATTATAATTCATTCAAAACTTGAATTTTGAATGTCAGTCTGGTGTTCATATAGTTTGTAAGTAGTACATTTGGTTGCATCTGAGAGGGTATTACTATTTGTTTTAATGTATTTATTTCTTTTTCCCATTATTAAATGAATGATGCATGCGTATGCGCCACTAATTAAGGCAACTAATTCAGATGAAAGTAGAATTATATAATGTGTTGATGTTATTTTAAGATCTAAGGAATTGGATGGTAGCCCTCCACTTGGGTGGTCCAGTAAATTTTTAAAATTTAAATGTTAATATGACAAAGACATATGAGGTGTTGTTTGAGTGGCTATGGATAAAAAAGAAAGAAAAGATGCCATAATGATGTAGATCACATCCACTGATATTGAGTGCTTTTAAGAGAATGTTAATTGCATTTGCACCTTTGCTTTTACTCAGCAGAAGAACCGGGTTCCAGAATTGACATTCATGGGCTCCCCTCCAATGGCTGCCAGTTCATTTATAGCTAACAATTTCTCGACTTCCAAAATAAATCAAATTTTATAAAGACATTGCCTTTTTATATGAAATTACCCGCATTGCAAAATAAATCAAATTTCCTTTTAAATTAATAAAATCAAATTTCTTTTATTTTAAATTAATAATTATATTAATAAAGACTATGAATTCTAGGCCTGGCCGAATCAACTTATTTTATATATATATATATTTAAAAAATATTAATTGTTTTATTCGGGCCCTCAGTATTATGAAGCAACATTTCTTGTCTGAAGAAATCTAATCTTGTCTGAAATCTGAAGAGAGGAATTCAAACCACAAATCTACACAAGACCGAGCAAAAAATAAAATAAAATAAAAAATCTGGAAATTGCAAAAAGGACAAAGCATAAACACAACACAAACAATGCTCATATTGATTTGATACCATGTAACACTAAAACGGGCAGATCAATATAATTTACATTAACTTATTTCAATAATTCAACCTCCCCTTCTTTTATATGTATTTATATAAAACAACATTCACCAATCAAGCACATACGAATTAACAATTTTAAAATAAACTATAAATTATAAAAATAAATAGAAAAACAAAAAAACAAAATTTAACGCCTGCAACGAGTAATGGCACTGCACCCGCGAGAGTATGGGTTGGCCTGACCCCCGTGTCGACAGTTATAGTACGATGCGCCACGTCGCGAGCACGGCACAGTGTTCCTCCTCAGCGCACCGTAGCTTATATACCTCCTCGTCGCTAAAATGCGCCGGTTGATCTCACTGTCCATGTCAAACTCCAAATCGAAGTCTTCATCCTCGACAGTCATACACTCTCCGATAGATCCGGTGCACTCCGGTTTCACTGGAAGGAAGCCCAGCTGGTAACCTCCATTGATATCAATGGCTGATGCTGAGGAGATAGCCACGTGGACGGCCAAGACTATTGCAGATATAACGAGGAAAACAGCACTGAAGTTTGAGGCTCTCATTTTTGGAAACTCTTTATTTTTTTGTGTTGTGTAATTGTGTCGAAGTATGGGCAATGTAAAGGATTTTAAGTGACGGCTAATAGCGAATTGCCACTGGATTTATAACTATTTACGGTGTTGCCACTTGACTTTAATGTGACTCGCTTTTCTTAAACTTTACGGCTCTCAATTACTTTCTCAACATCCAGTAAATCATCTTTTGACCATATAGTCATTTTCATAGTCTTCTCCTTTTTTATTTATTTTTTATTTTTTTATTTTTAAGAGTTAAAACTTGACGCGTATTTGAAAACTTTACTGATCTCGATTACTTTCTCAACATCTACTAAATCATCTTTTGACCACATAGTCATTTTTATAGTGTTTTTTTTTTTAGTTAAAACTTAGGAGCGTATTTGAAAAGTAATATATTAAATATAAATTACTATTAGGTGATCGAGTGATTAATTAGGATTCTTAAGTATATTACTTAAAGGTTTTAAATTCGATTCACCTCGACCCTTAATAGGAATGACTGTTGGAGTTTTTATTCAATCAGTAGTTTCAAGGTCTCGAAAAATTAATCGACATATGTATAAACTGATTTGAACACTCCAATCATAAAAAAAAAAAATTAAAATATTTATATCTATAAATATTTATCCATACAGAGCTGCTGGACACGCAAGCCTGTGCCGTTGGCCAGCTGGCGAGGATCTGGCAGCAGTTCACTGAAGTTGGGCGCTGGTAACGGTTGGCTGTAGGTTTAAATTTTAAAATAACTTTTAAGCTTAGGAGTAATTGTGTTTTTGACAATGTGATTATTGAATATCTGTAACTTAGTGGGTTTGAGGTGTAAAATGAAAGTTGATGGTGACGATAAGTACAAAATAATTGGGTTTAGTGTAAAATTCAAACAAAAATCATGGCAAAAATGAAGAAAGGTGAGGTAGTGGACCAGAACTGTGACAAGGAAGTTGAAGATGGTGTGATGTTTTTCTAACAAAATCATGTGAATGCAATTAAAAGATGTATTGGTGTACCCAAAAGCCCACTCATATTGGGTCAAATGGCAAATGAAAAGCGCTGCCCGCGACAGCTGACACTCCAGTCTTAAATGCTATAATTTATCCGCGTTTTGTGGCACGTTAGGAAGCGTTTCTTTTATAAAGTAAACGTTTCCTCAATGACCCTTTCCCACCTAATAAATTTCAAAATATTACTTTCTCACCCAAAATTAATATTCTATTACTATTCAAAGGAAAAAAGTATCTTTATCATCACCATTAGAACCTTCAGTGTCCTCTATATAAAACCCCTTCTCACTTCGACATCTGATTTCTCACTAATTGTTGGTCACCGCAAAGGTATGATTTCTTGTTTTTAGAAGATTTTTGACTCATTTCAACGGTAAATATTCAATTGGTTACCACCTTTTAATCTATCAGCCTCCACTCTACAAAAACCCTTTTATCTTAGTTCCTGGTAACTTGTCAAATGCCAATTGAGAAAGTAAAATGTCATTAAGGCAAACCTTGGGTGGGAGAAAGTCGTTTACTCTTTCTTTATACTATACTAAACAAATTTTACAATTATGTCAATTTAAGATAAAATTATTCTTTTTTAATAATTCTTGATCTGCCTCTAAATTTACATTCTTTTCGCATTAATGGTGTATTATCATGTCAACAACCAAGTAATTACTGAATAATAATTATTATCATTATAAAATTCCTTTTTGATAATTTTAAATATAAAAATTATGAAAATTAATATTGGGCCTTATAAATAATTGAAGTGGGTTCAAATAAAACTATTATAATTGGATACCGAAACTGGGCTTTGCCAATAACAACCCAATTTGAATCGGGTATTATTTTGGCCCAATTAACTTCATGACGCAAATTTGTTTTCTTCTCCAGCCGTTGGATTAATGTGAGAGAGAAGATCATCGCTGACTACTTCATCATTAGGGTATTCTTGAGGTTTTGAAGAGCAAAAGGATTTTAGCAGCACAAAATCCACAGAGCTCCTGACTCTTCACACTAGGTAATCTCCCGTTCTCTCACTTAGGACTTTTTAAAGCCCTAATTATAATAGCAATTTAGGCTGTTTTATATTTTTAAGACTATTTGAGTTGATTTAAATTTAATGATTTGTTAAATTAAATCAGGATTTCCGGAAGCAGTAGTTAATACACTTGACAAGATGCAGAACGAAGAGGGTCAAAACATGGATCTCTATATTCCCAGGAAATGGTATAATGATTTAAATAGGTTGAGAAATAGTGTTTTTTTTTGTTTCTTAATTTGGGGATTTTGGCTAAAATGTGATAGTGTGATTATTGTATTTTCTGTAGTTCGGCTACAAATAGGCTTATTACTTCGAAGGACCATGCGTCTGTTCAGATAAACATTGGTCATGTAGATGAGAATGGCATTTACACCGGCCAATTTTCTACTTTTGCACTTTGCGGTTTTGTCCGAGCTCAGGTGCTTCTTCCTTTTTCATTTGATTTTCTTAAGCATCTGTTAGCTAGTAGATACAGAATTTGAGTTTCGTTAGTTTGGGTGGTACATTGTGCTTGTCTTGCAATTCTATAAGAATGATGCCTACTTTAGATTTGTAATTTGTAGCATGAATTGTTGAAATTCTTTCTTATAGTTTTCATGTTTTTCTTTATAGTCAAAGATAATTTTCTCTATGTTTGGCATAATGATGTTCTTAACCTTTATTTATTTATTTTATTTATGTTTGCATGTTCAGAGTTGTGGTGGTTTTGGACGTTTAGAATATTGGCTAGTGATATTTAGTTTCATGTTGAACTTCTTTAGGAGCTTAAATGTTGGTCAGGAACTTTTTAGATATACAAAAGGCCCCTATGTATACTACTTATTCTTATATGAACAGATTATTAAGTGTTCCACATATGATTCATACCAGAGGACATGTTTCATCTCATATTTCTGTGTTGTCTTGAAGAGGAAATACAATTTGTTTATTGACCAGAAAAAATCATGACAGTTAGATAGCAAGTTCACGGGTCAAATTTATGTTTAATTCTTTGTTTATTTGTTTTCAGCTATTTCATTTATGTGAAATCTTCATCCAATCAGGTCTTATAAATTTACATATAGCTGTTGTAACTGGAAATGCTGTCATTTTGAACTGGCTGGCATGCCCTTTTTTTTTGCTTATGAGGTTCCTTCTTTTCTTTTATTCAGGGAGATGCCGACAGTGCATTGGACCGACTTTGGCAGAAGAAGAAGGTTGAAGTCCGACAGCAGTAGAATAATGAAACTATAAATCGTTTGTCTGCTTCCCTGCAAGTATTTTTTCTTGAGGATTTCAACTTTCCAATTTGTTTCTATAACCAATAAATACTACAACTAGTTCTCTAGCGTTTTCGATGTGTTTACTCTTGGAATGAGGTGGTTTTTCTTTCATATATATACTATTACCATTACCATTAAATGATGCTATGTCTTTTCAATAAGAACTAAAAGGGTATTGTGAAAATTTCTGTCAAAAAATTTATTTGCATGTCATTTTCTGTTTATCGATCTATGTTTTCGAGCCATATATGTGATACAAAATTTGTGAATTAAAATCATCTGTGTCTGTGTGATTGCTGTGGTTTAAGATGGAGTCTTTAACTATTGATCTCAAATTCCCAATGGTATGGTTTATGAATAAAGCTATACAACTTATTATTGGTTGGGCCAAAGCTCGGGATGAAAATGTATTTAACTCATCAATTGCATCAAGAAATGCTTTACATGATGACATGTGTTACTGCCTTCTACAGCTTTTTCGTCAAATATGTTTAATTTGAAGGTTACTATTACCACTGGGTGTTTATGCTCCGGAAAAACGCAGGGGCTTTAAAGGACAAATCTCATATATTTATTTTATAAAGCATTTTTAGGATTTTTTTTATATTTATTTTATCTAACTATTTTTTTGCTTATTTAGTTATAATCATTACTTAACTTATTTCAATAATTCAACCTCCCCTCTTTATATGTATTTATATAAAACAACATTCACCAATCAAGCACATACGAATTACAATTTTAAATAAACTATAAATTATAAAATAAATGAAAAACAAAAAAACAAATTTAACGCCTGCAACGAGTAATGGCACTGCACCCGCGAGAGTATGGGTTGGCCTGACCCCCGTGCGCAGTTATGTACGATGCGCCACGTCGCGAGCACGGCACAGTGTTCCTCCTCAGCGCACCGTAGCTTATATACCTCCTCGTCGCTAAAATGCGCCGGTGATCTCACTGTCCATGTCAAACTCCAAATCGAAGTCTTCATCCTCGACAGTCTACACTCTCCGATAGATCCGGTGCACTCCGGTTTCACTGGAAGAAGCCCAGCTGGTGACCTCCATTATATCAAGGCTGATGTGCTGAGGAGATGCCACGTGGACGGCCAAGACTATTGCAGATTAAGGAGGAAAACGCACTGAAGTTTGAGGCTCTCTTTTTGGAAACTCTTTTTTTTTTTGGTGTTGTGTAATTGTGTCGAAGTATGGCAATGTAAAGGATTTTAAGTGACGCTAATAGCGAATTGCCACTGGTTTTATAACTATTTACGGTGTTGCCACTTGACTTTATGTGACTCGCTTTCTTAACTTTACGGCTCTCAATTACTTTCTCAACATCCATAAATCTCTTTTGACCATATAGTCATTTTCATATCTTCTCTTTTTTTTTTTTTTATTTTTTTATTTTTAAGAGTTAAAACTTGACGCTTATTTGAAAACTTTACTGATCTCCGATTACTTTCTCACACTCTAATCATCTTTTGACCAAATAGTCATTTTTATAGTGTTTTTTTTTTAGTAAAACTTGGGCGTATTTGAAAAGTAATATATTAAATAAATAATTACTATGGTGACGAGTGATAATTAGGATTCTTATATATTACTCAAAGTTTTAAATTGATTCACCTCGACCCTTAATAGAATGTGTTGAGTTTTTATCATCAGTAGTTCTCAAGGTCTCGAAAATTAATCGACATATGTATAACTGATTGAACATCCAATCATAAAAAAAAAAAATTAAAATATTTATATCTATAAATATTTTCCAACAGAGCTGCTGGCCACGCAAGCCTGTCCGTTGGCCAGCTGGCGAGGATCTGGCAGCAGTTCACTGAAGTTGGGCGCTGGTAACGGTTGGCGGTAGTTAAATTTTAAAATAACTTTTAAGCTTAGAGTAATTGGTTTTTGAAATGTGAATTATTGAATATCTGTAACTTAGTGGGTTTAGGTGTAAAATGAAAGTTGATGGTGACGATAATAAAAATAATTGGGTTTAGTGTAAAATCAAACAAAAATCATGGCAAAATGAAGAAAGGTGAGGTAGTGGACCAGAACTGTGACAAGGAAGTTGAAGATGGTGTGATGTTTTTCTAACAAAATCATGTGAATGCAATTAAAAGATGTATTGGTGTACCCAAAACCCACTCATATTGGTCAAATGGCAAATGAAAGGCTGCCCGCGACAGCTGACCCTCCAGTCTTAATGCTATAATTTTTCCGCGTTTTGTGGCACGTTAGGAAGCGTTTCTTTTATAAATTAAACGTTTCCTCAATACCCTTTCCCACCTAATAAATTTCAAAATATTACTTTCTCACCCAAAATTATATTCTATTACTATTCAAAGGAAAAAAGTATCTTTATCATCACCATTAGAACCTTCAGTGTCCTCTATATAAACCCCTTCTCACTTCGACACTGATTTCTCACTAATTGTTGGTCACCGCAAAGGTATGATTTCTTTTTTTTAGAGATTTTTGACTCATTTCAACGGTAAATATTCAATTGGTTACCACCTTTAATCTATCAGCCTCCACTCTACAAAAACCCTTTTATCTTAGTTCCTGGTAACTTGTCAACATGCTCTTTGTTCGAGATTTTCATGATTTGGTATTTAAGCAGAGCATACATATTTTAATGATAACAATCAGGACGTGTTATGAGCAGTCTTTCATCTTTTTAAGCTGGAATGTCATAGTACGACTCTCTGTAAAATCATGGTTAGGATCCTTCATGCATATATACCATGGAACGCTTGGAATGGGCACATCATCTGTGCATCTGATGCTTCCTCTTCCTTTTACATAATTTGGCCCATGTTCAATGTCCACTATATTGAACAAGACACTGGATGGTTGTGATTGCCATGTATGTATGAAAGAAAAGAGAAATTCTATTGGGTATTTTGTCTAAAATTTTATCATTTCTGGTCGTTTGCAATGTTACAGTTGTGTAATTGAATTAGTCCTGAACTGTTGCTGAGTCCATTTAATTGTATTTGCAGGTCCAAAATCTTCTTCAGCAGATGGTTTGTTTTCTCTTTTCCACTGTATAAACTTCTTTTGTGAAATACTGAATGTATTGTGAGATATGATGCATTTCTTTTATTGTTTCATCTTGCAGCAATCTAGGTTCCAGACAATGTCCGAGTCCATCATTACGAAGAATATCCTTTTCTATTTTGACACATTAATGACATGTAACTGGGGATTCAAAACAATTATATAATCTTAAAATTATGTGTCTCTTCTTGGGGGTTGTTCTGACATTTTGGGGAAGTTAGATTCGTTTGTCCGTAGTAGTATTTGAAAGGAGTCCATTACTGTTCTGTGGTATCTTGCTTCACTCTATTTATGATCATGTGTTACATAAGTTCATTATCTCTTGAATTGTTACATTCACATTGTTGCAATGACCTCTTTTTGATTTTTCCCTTCAATTTTTGGGGTTAGGGGTAGGGAGTTAAGCTGATTTTAGAGAACATCATATGCTTCAATGAGACTTCATACTTGACTTTAATTTCTTGTGTTGTTTAATTTTGTTTGTTTATAACCTTATGGAATGTTTGATCTTAAATGCTGGACTACTTCTCTAAGATGTTATGGGGAAGCTTGTTCAATTCACAAGCTTTGAATTCATTTTACACATTGAATTCATTGGCTGCATTGCTGCTTATACCGTAAAATGTGTTGTATGTTTTCTAACACACTTGAAACTGAGGTGCATTAAGTGGATTTTTGGTTTCCTTGACTACAATTGCACTCGATGAGATGGGCAACAGGATAAACGAGTTGGAACAGAGCATCAATGATCTCAGATCCGAGATGGGCATAGAGGCCTCTACTCCTTCAGTTCCTTCCAAGCCAAAGGATGAACCCAAGACAGGCAATGATCCATCTTAAGGTTTGTGACACCACACAATGTCAGTTGAATACTACATGGATTGCTGCCATCTTTTTGTTTCTGCATCTGTTATCTGCAATACTAAAAGTTTCAACTTTAAAAGCAGATGACTCTCCAGAGATTTGTAATTAAGGCTATTTTTTATTCTTATTTTCAGTAAGAAATTAATACATATGTTTTTCTGATTGACTGCAGAAATGGTCTTGTCTGTATTATAATTCATTCAAAACTTGAAATTTGAATGTCAGTCTGGTGTTTATATAGTTGAAGTAGTGCATTTGGTTGCATCTGAGAGGGTATTTGTTTTTATGTATTTGTTTCTTTTTCCCATTATTGAATGAATGATGCATGCCACGCGTATGCGCCACTAATTCAGATGGAAGTAGAATTATATAATGTGTTGATATTATTTTAAGATCTAGGGAATTGGATGGTGGCCCTCCACTTGGGTCGTCCAGTAGATTTTTAAAATTTAAATGCTAATATGACAAAGACATATGAGGTGTTGTTTGAGTGGCTATGGATAAAAAAAAAAAAAAAAACAAAAGATGCCATACTGATGTAGATCACATCCACTGATATTGAGTGCTTTTAAGAGAATGTTAATTGCATTTGCACCTTTGCTTTTACTCAGCACAAGAACCGGGTTCCAGAATTGACATTCATGGGCTCCCCTCCAACGGCTGCCAGTTCATTTATAGCTAACAATTTCTCGACTTCCAAAATAAATCAAATTTTATAAAGACATTGCCTTTTTATATGAAATTACCCGCATTGCAAAATAAATCAAATTTCCTTTTAAATTAATAAAATCAAATTTCTTTTATTTTAAATTAATAATTATATTAATAAAGACTATGAATTCTAGGCCTGGCCGAATCAACTTATTTTATATATATATATATTTAAAAAATATTAATTGTTTTATTCGGGCCCTCAGTATTATGAAGCAACATTTCTTGTCTGAAGAAATCTAATCTTGTCTGAAATCTGAAGAGAGGAATTCAAACCACAAATCTACACAAGACCGAGCAAAAAATAAAATAAAATAAAAAATCTGGAAATTGCAAAAAGGACAAAGCATAAACACAACACAAACAATGCTCATATTGATTTGATACCATGTAACACTAAAACGGGCAGATCAATATAATTTACATTAACTTATTTCAATAATTCAACCTCCCCTTCTTTTATATGTATTTATATAAAACAACATTCACCAATCAAGCACATACGAATTAACAATTTTAAAATAAACTATAAATTATAAAAATAAATAGAAAAACAAAAAAACAAAATTTAACGCCTGCAACGAGTAATGGCACTGCACCCGCGAGAGTATGGGTTGGCCTGACCCCCGTGTCGACAGTTATAGTACGATGCGCCACGTCGCGAGCACGGCACAGTGTTCCTCCTCAGCGCACCGTAGCTTATATACCTCCTCGTCGCTAAAATGCGCCGGTTGATCTCACTGTCCATGTCAAACTCCAAATCGAAGTCTTCATCCTCGACAGTCATACACTCTCCGATAGATCCGGTGCACTCCGGTTTCACTGGAATGAAGCCCAGCTGGTGACCTCCATTGATATCAATGGCTGATGCTGAGGAGATAGCCACGTGGACGGCCAAGACTATTGCAGATATAAGGAGGAAAACAGCACTGAAGTTTGAGGCTCTCATTTTTGGAAACTCTTTATTTTTTTGTGTTGTGTAATTGTGTCGAAGTATGGGCAATGTAAAGGATTTTAAGTGACGGCTAATAGCGAATTGCCACTGGTTTTATAACTATTTACGGTGTTGCCACTTGACTTTAATGTGACTCGCTTTACTTAAGCTTTACGGCTCTCAATTACTTTCTCAACATCCAGTAAATCATCTTTTGACCATATAGTCATTTTCATAGTCTTCTCCTTTTTTATTTATTTTTTATTTTTTTATTTTTAAGAGTTAAAACTTGACGCGTATTTGAAAACTTTACTGATCTCGATTACTTTCTCAACATCTACTAAATCATCTTTTGACCACATAGTCATTTTTATAGTGTTTTTTTTTTTAGTTAAAACTTAGGAGCGTATTTGAAAAGTAATATATTAAATATAAATTACTATTAGGTGATCGAGTGATTAATTAGGATTCTTAAGTATATTACTTAAAGGTTTTAAATTCGATTCACCTCGACCCTTAATAGGAATGACTGTTGGAGTTTTTATTCAATCAGTAGTTTCAAGGTCTCGAAAAATTAATCGACATATGTATAAACTGATTTGAACACTCCAATCATAAAAAAAAAAAATTAAAATATTTATATCTATAAATATTTATCCATACAGAGCTGCTGGACACGCAAGCCTGTGCCGTTGGCCAGCTGGCCAGGATCTGGCAGCAGTTCACTGAAGTTGGGCGCTGGTAGCTGTTGGCTGTAGGTTTAAATTTTAAAATAACTTTTAAGCTTAGGAGTAATTGTGTTTTTGAAATTGTAATTATTGAATATCTGTAACTTAGTGGGTTTGAGGTGTAAAATGAAAGTTGATGGTGACGATAATTAAAAAATAATTGGGTTTAGTGTAAAATTCAAACAAAAATCATGGCAAAGATGAAGAAAGGTGAGGTAGTGGACAAGAACTGTGACAAGGAAGTTGAAGATGGTGTGATATTTCTCTTAACAAAATCATGTGAATGCAATTAAAAGATGTATTGGTGTACCCAAAAGCCCACTCATTTGGTTCAAATGGCAAATGAAAAGTGCTGCCCTCGACAGCTGACACTCCAGTCTTAATTGCTATAATTTTTGCGCGTTTTGTGGCACGTTAAGAAGCGTTTCTTTTATAAAGTAAACGAATTTTTCCCACCCAACGTTTTCCTCAATTTCCCTTTCCCACCTAAAAAATTTCAAAATGTCACTTTCTCACCCAAAATTAATATTCCATTACTATTCAAAGATGATTCTGACAACAAAAATTATCTTCATCATCACCATTAGAACCTTCAGTCTCCTCTATATAAAACTCTCTGTTAAGGCCAAAAAATGTCCTCGGCCCAAATGGGATAACGCATCTGACAATGAGGAAAAGCCCATGCCCAATCCCAATGCAGCCCATGCCAAAACTCCCCGAATAAGACCCATTTGATATGAAGTACAGTCAACCCAAACCATCTGGACACAAGCCTCCTAATCCCAGTATACTTCCTGGACCTATGGTCGAATTCAGAGCCCACGGTCACCTACGGATCACATTCCTACTTGAACACTGATAAAGTAGTCCACTTCAATCCTAACTCCTCCAAGGTCCGTGTCAGAGTCATACTTGGACTCCCCTTCACGGTAGGATAATAGGGCCAAAAGATATATCCTTGGAGGAAATGAATTACTATGAGAATTCTCAATCCCACTAGGATTGGGAGACCAAACAATCACTATTTAAACAAATGCCAGCCCTCTCATAAGGCATATTACATTACACCTACAGATCCCGGAGTTCCCGCTTGAGAACTTCATATTATAGCCGTAGTCACAATCTCTGACTAGACTTCTGGTCACTATCATTCGATCCACCGGCCTCAACTCTACAAAAACCCTTTTACCCCGGCTCCTGGTAACTCGCCGAATGCCGACTGAGAAGGTGAAGTGTATTGTGGATATTAACGGAATATAAATGTTGGGTGGAAAAGTGGTATTTTGAAACTTTTTGGGGTGGGAAAAAGTTGTTTACTCTTTCTTTATACTATACTAAACAAATTTTACAATTATTTCAATTTAAGATAAAATTATTCTTTTTTAATAATTCTTGGTCTGCCTCTAAATTTACATTCATTTCGTATTAATAGAGTATTATCATGTCCAACAATCATGTAATTACTGAATAATAATAATTATCATTATAAAATTCCTTTTTGATAATTTTAACTATAAAAATTATGAAAATTAATATTGGGCCTTATAAATAATTGAAGTGGGTTCAAATAAAACTATTATAATTGGATACTGAAACTGGGCTTTGCCAATAACAACCCAATTTGAATCGGGTATTATTTTGGCCCAATTAACTTCACGACGCAAATTTGTTTTCTTTTCCAGCCGTTGGATTAATGTGAGAGAGAAGATCATCGCTGACTACTTCATCATTAGGGTATTCTTGAGGTTTTGAAGAGGAAAAGGATTTTAGCAGCACAAAATCCACAGAGCTCCTGACTCTTCACACTAGGTAATCTCCCGTTCTCTCACTTAGGACTTTTTAAAGCCCTAATTATAATAGCAATTTAGGCTGTTTTATATTTTTAAGACTATTTGAGTTGATTTAAATTTAATGATTTGTTAAATTAAATCAGGATTTCCGGAAGCAGTAGTTAATACACTTGACAAGATGCAGAACGAAGAGGGTCAAAACATGGATCTCTATATTCCCAGGAAATGGTATAATGATTTAAATAGGTTGAGAAATAGTGTTTTTTTTTGTTTCTTAATTTGGGGATTTTGGCTAAAATGTGATAGTGTGATTATTGTATTTTCTGTAGTTCGGCTACAAATAGGCTTATTACTTCGAAGGACCATGCGTCTGTTCAGATAAACATTGGTCATGTAGATGAGAATGGCATTTACACCGGCCAATTTTCTACTTTTGCACTTTGCGGTTTTGTCCGAGCTCAGGTGCTTCTTCCTTTTTCATTTGATTTTCTTAAGCATCTGTTAGCTAGTAGATACAGAATTTGAGTTTCGTTAGTTTGGGTGGTACATTGTGCTTGTCTTGCAATTCTATAAGAATGATGCCTACTTTAGATTTGTAATTTGTAGCATGAATTGTTGAAATTCTTTCTTATAGTTTTCATGTTTTTCTTTATAGTCAAAGATAATTTTCTCTATGTTTGGCATAATGATGTTCTTAACCTTTATTTATTTATTTTATTTATGTTTGCATGTTCAGAGTTGTGGTGGTTTTGGACGTTTAGAATATTGGCTAGTGATATTTAGTTTCATGTTGAACTTCTTTAGGAGCTTAAATGTTGGTCAGGAACTTTTTAGATATACAAAAGGCCCCTATGTATACTACTTATTCTTATATGAACAGATTATTAAGTGTTCCACATATGATTCATACCAGAGGACATGTTTCATCTCATATTTCTGTGTTGTCTTGAAGAGGAAATACAATTTGTTTATTGACCAGAAAAAATCATGACAGTTAGATAGCAAGTTCACGGGTCAAATTTATGTTTAATTCTTTGTTTATTTGTTTTCAGCTATTTCATTTATGTGAAATCTTCATCCAATCAGGTCTTATAAATTTACATATAGCTGTTGTAACTGGAAATGCTGTCATTTTGAACTGGCTGGCATGCCCTTTTTTTTTGCTTATGAGGTTCCTTCTTTTCTTTTATTCAGGGAGATGCCGACAGTGCATTGGACCGACTTTGGCAGAAGAAGAAGGTTGAAGTCCGACAGCAGTAGAATAATGAAACTATAAATCGTTTGTCTGCTTCCCTGCAAGTATTTTTTCTTGAGGATTTCAACTTTCCAATTTGTTTCTATAACCAATAAATACTACAACTAGTTCTCTAGCGTTTTCGATGTGTTTACTCTTGGAATGAGGTGGTTTTTCTTTCATATATATACTATTACCATTACCATTAAATGATGCTATGTCTTTTCAATAAGAACTAAAAGGGTATTGTGAAAATTTCTGTCAAAAAATTTATTTGCATGTCATTTTCTGTTTATCGATCTATGTTTTCGAGCCATATATGTGATACAAAATTTGTGAATTAAAATCATCTGTGTCTGTGTGATTGCTGTGGTTTAAGATGGAGTCTTTAACTATTGATCTCAAATTCCCAATGGTATGGTTTATGAATAAAGCTATACAACTTATTATTGGTTGGGCCAAAGCTCGGGATGAAAATGTATTTAACTCATCAATTGCATCAAGAAATGCTTTACATGATGACATGTGTTACTGCCTTCTACAGCTTTTTCGTCAAATATGTTTAATTTGAAGGTTACTATTACCACTGGGTGTTTATGCTCCGGAAAAACGCAGGGGCTTTAAAGGACAAATCTCATATATTTATTTTATAAAGCATTTTTAGGATTTTTTTTATATTTATTTTATCTAACTATTTTTTTGCTTATTTAGTTATAATCATATTCATATATAAGACAAAATGGTTTTTGTATCTTTTTGCAGGATTTTGTGCCTTAGATTATGGATTTGAGTAACTGTAATTGCATGTTAAAAACATATCATTTATTGTTTTATTAAAAGTATAATTGGTAAATTATTTGATTTTACGGTTGGATTTGTCATTAAAACAAGATCTTCATATTTTGAAAAATTAAGATTATTGATTTGTCATTGCTAAATTTAAAAAATTCTCAAGTAACAATAATCCTTAGCCTAAAATCGGAAATACTAATAAAAAAGATTGAAAAGAACTTTTAAAGGTTTTTATTTATTAGTTTCTTTTTTATTTCTTACAAAAGTTTGTTTCTCCCAAAATACCCAGTCCCAATAAAGGTAGACACATAAGCTGATAGAACCTTTTTACTCTCCAAAAACTCTTTCTCTTTCCCTTCGGAAAACAGTTTTCCTCTCCCAGGATCCGTGGCCAAGAGATGGATCCTCAGTTACCCTTCAAGAAACACTTCTCCTCACCAGGCTAGGATCGGTGGCCAAGAGATGCATCCTCAGTTGTGTACACATGGTCCGTAATATCCATAGTAGATGGAACGTTACCTTTTAGGGCGGCCGAAAGTTTTTAATTTACTCCAATATCCAAAGTGATTTAGATATCTTATATTTATCCAAATAAATATATGGATGGTGCTTATGATTTGTCAATAAAATTAACTCTAATATATTGTATTGAAAAATGCATAAACCATGAAAGACTAAATTTAAAAGTTATGTTTCCAACTATCAATGCCATAAATATGACATCTTGCATCCACATCAGTCAAACCAAATTAAGGGAAGCAAAAATATGTTTTAATTCTAGTGATGTGATTGAAGGGGTTGAATTTTCTGTTTGTTCCTATTTAAGTCTTATATCAAAAGCTTTTTCAGTCTCTGTATTGAGGAAACGGCACCGTTTTCCTCTAAATATGGTCGTTTAGGACGTGGTGGTTTTTGATTCGTAATTAATAAGAAAAACAGACATGAACAAAACTTGAAAGAACAAAGCCAAAAATATAATGAGCAACGAACTGAACTTTTAGCCTGAACGAAGTTGATTACTAAAAAGGCTTGGACATGGAAGTGAACCCGACGAAGCTCGATTACTATGGCGACATGTCTAAACTTCAATCAAAATCGACACTCATTTCCGACTGCAAGGTTTCACTTTTAAATATCTTATGACAAAACTATGCTCCACTATCATCAATTGACATATACTTTTTTTTTTTTTTGGTACTCGAAGGGTGATGATGGTAGACGTGCATTGATACTGGAGTCGACAATATTTCATCCACAAGGGGGCGGTCAACCTTCTGACACTGGCGTCATCACTGTCGCCGATTCTGACTTCAAATTCATTGTTCAAGATGTTCGATCAAAGAGTGGGATTGTTAGTAGCTATAATTCTTAAACTAATTTGTAATCTGTTTCTGTTTTTGAATTGATAGCAGGGTTGATTTCCCTTTCTTTTTTTTCTTTTTTAAATTTTTAAAAAAGGTTTTTCATTATGGGGTTGTTGAGAGCTCTGGTGGGGATTTTGAAATATTGTTAGAGAAGGGGAAAGAAGTTGTTTTGTGTGTTGATGAATCAAGGCGCGTGCTGAATTCGAGGTATGAAATTGTAAGAAACATTCGTTTTCATTCGTGTGTGCTCAAGTGTTTAGTTTTTTTTTTATTATTTTTTTTTTTTTGTATTCTGTATTTTGTATGTTTATGATGACATGATTTATAATTTGTTTAAAGAATTGAAATTTTAATCACATCTCTGATTAATTTTATGATTCTCTTCAAATAGATGCTTCAGGGATACACTTGGTTTTTGTGTACGATGTCCTTTGTATTAATATGTTTTATTTTTTTGCTTGTGCAGGCTGCACTCGGCTGGGCATTTGCTGGACGCATGCATTCAAACTGTCGGATTAGGGCATTTGGAGCCAGGAAAAGGCTACCATTTTCCCGATGGGTTTGTTACAAATCAGCTCTAAAATATGTTATGCTATGTTGTTTATCTGTTTTATTGCTATTTATGCAGAGATTCTTGTATCCTTTCTAAATGTGTCCCCAGTAATGTCATCCAGAAGTGGTGCTACATGTATGTGCAAGTTGTTTTAAGGAATTTGGTAATTTTAAAGGTGTTTTTTTTACTAGGCCGTATGTCGAATATAAAGGCTCAGTTCCACAAAATGAAGTACAAAGCAAAGCAAAAGAACTGGAGTTAGAAGCTAATGCATTAATATCTAAAGGAGGGAAGGTTGGTTTAATCTTGTTTTTTTTGTCCTTGATGGGATCCTATCTGACGTTTTCTGTGTATCAATCTTTCTGAAATGCCTTTTCCTATTTGTTTCAGGTTTTTGTTGCTGTATTACCATATGAAGAAGCTTCTGAACTGTGTGGTGGTTGCCTTCCTGATTACATTCCCAAGGTCAGGAATTGATGCTCAGTGCTAAAAATTATCTTCAAATCTTAGTTTGTCTGTAGTGTCGTTATTTTTTGGAAGAAGTATTAGTTTAAATTTTGCTGGGCACCAAATAGATGTTTACAAAATTTTCGTTTTGGGATTGATAGTGATCGACCACCAGCACTCACATCCAATCTGATCAGAGACATTTTCTAGTGTTTTCTGATATTCTGATTAGATCATATATTACATGGAGAATAACAAGGTTCAACATTTCTGGGACAGTCACTGAGCTCCATTAGAGAATAAATTGGAATATCATGTCTGACTATAATGCTATTATAGAGGACATTTATGGGAGCCTGAGTTAGCTAAGTCTTATTTTTTAGTATAGAATGTCAATTAAAGAAATTTTTACTGAGTGTTTGGCAGAAAACATGCTTACTTTGTAGACGAGTATGTGTGGACATTCGCACCTGTTAGATTGACAAACTTTCTGTGGACACAAATTTTCTTGTCTCATTTCATTTTTCTCTGTTAGTCTTTCAGTACATCTATCTGCATTTGTTTCTTTTGTAGTGCCACAATATTACAAATTATAGCCCTTTCTGCATCTCTTTCAGGGAAGCACTCCTCGAATTGTGAAGATAGGGGATAAACCTGGTTGTCCTTGTGGTGGTACACATGTTTCTGATATTACAGAGATTGTAAGCATGAAGGTATACATTATCAGTTTAGTTCAAATTCACGTATGCTATTATGATTGACAATCACCACTTACTATAACGTTCGATGGATAAACCTTACGAATCAATAGAAATCCATAGAGGTTGATGGGATTTTCTGGAATCTATGTTTGCCTGCCTATGTAACAGGGCAGTAAACATTGGCACTAGAATCTCATTAGATATAACATAATCTTAGACTAGACCTCCAATCCTACCATAGACAATGGAGGTCCACCACGGATAACTATAACTTATTTAAAGTGGGAAGAGATGGAAAAAGGATATTTTTGTATGGTTTTGTTTTGATTTTTATACGTCTATCTTATTATCTTTATTATATTTCATGCTGTCTAGATGGATAATATCTATAATTAAAAAAATATATATTTCTTTTGGAGTATCAAAAAATCTGGGTGGAGATATATTACTCAGCTCTTTGTGCCATGTTTTGATTTTTGTTCAGGTTTCTCAAATTCGAACAAAGAAGGGAATGACCAAAGTTTTCTATACAGTTGGAGCCTAATGCTTTATTAGCCTTTCACTTCCATTGAAGAAAACTATTTTATGAATATGAAGCCATGCATGCTCAAACCAATTAGCCGTTTTAAATGTTATCAGATATGCGATGAAGCATTTCTGGGTCATTATAGTTGATCTACTCAAAAACAGATACACATAATTTGGATATGTCCAGAAATATGCCGACTTTTTGTTATACTTATGGGATCTATAATGTATGTGAAATATCAAAATGCTTGTATTATATTCGCAATTTTAGCCTTATTGGTCATCCTCTCAGCAGCCCATTTAGACCTTTTTCATGTTTGACGCCTTCTAATAATAAACACACGCTTTTGTGTGCCTTAGTTCACACGTATTTGATCATGTCCACTGGAGAAAAAAAAATGAAGCGTAGGAAGCAAGAACATCGGTTGTGTGTATTTTGTCTTTCCTTTGCTGATACAGCTGGAAATCAGACGTCTCCCCCACATTGTGTTGTCTTCTTTTGACAGCTTTGTAGTATTCTTTGAAGGTAACAGCTTGCTTCTGTTTGTCATAACATTATTTGTTCATAGATAATTACTTCTGGATTCTTCTCCTGTGAAGCTATTCACCTGACTCATAAAAATTTGGCCCTTCCCCACCTCCTTTTGAAGTGTTGTCATCTCATTTCACATTGCTTTCTTTTAAATGAATTGAGGTAAGAAAAATGTTATCCTTACAAAGACTTCTACAAAAAGGGATACAAAGTAACATTAACAAGAAGAAAAAAACAAAGAAAGAACGGAAAAGGAGAGAGAGAAAGAGAGAAATCATGAAAATCAAGAGTAGGGATTGTCTTTGTATGTGTTTTTGTTAAACTAGCATTGCTCTTGAGGTAATTTTTGTTTTCCTTCTAAAGGAATACGGTATTGAGATTTTTTCTCAAAGCGCGGCGGTTTGTTTCTAAGATTGCTTCCGGCTCCTTGTTTCATCGAAATAAAATGAGAAAAATGATAAATGAAGTGAAATCCATGACCGTTTTCGTCAGGCTAAAAAAATTTAGAAATTAGAAAAGAGAGGATTTGCAATTTGGGTTTTGTTTGTTGCGTTGAATGGTAGATAAAAGTAGCTGTTCAAACCTTTAGTGGTAATGGATTAACACACGATAAAAGGTCACAATCCGGTGTTGATGGTTGAATTCTTGTGGCTTTAATAGTGATAAGAGCAAGTGAATTGCGAAGGTGAGCGGTGGAAATGGATTGGAAATTGTTTCACGTAGCTCCATTTAGTGGGCGTACGTACGAGGAGAAAGTACTTGTAATGTGGTCCATGTATTGAAATCAACAGCTTGGCAGATGTAAATTCAGGTTCTAATCTTTTAAGGCGTCTTGGTCAAGCTATCTTCTGTCCCCACCATATCAAAACTTTGGTTCTCTTCTCAAGCGCCAATGAGAACCCTATTTCACTACTTCTAAGTAAAAGGTTAGAAAACATAATGGTGAAGCCAGCTCATATACATATAATATTTTTGTTAGTCGAAAGTGTTCAAACTAGTTTGTGCGTATCTCAACAAATTCTTTGAAACTTTAAAGTTAACAACCGAATAAGCCTCCAGTGATCACCCTTATTAACAATTAAGGTTAATCAAACTCAAGACTTCTTGATTAATACACCCAAGAGCCCTAGTTAATCACTCAACCACCCAGCAGTGGTTAAAGCCAACTAGTATTTTGGTGTTCATTGAAAATTCAATCTATCCATTATGTCCTTGTATACATTTGTTTTAGCCTAAGAACCAAAAACAGCTCATTATACATATTACATTTAGGGGGTGTTTGGTTGAGGGCTATGTGAGATTACTTTGGGTTATATCATCTTATATTACTTGATTACTACGTTTGGTTATCAAGTAATATAAGATTTCAGTAATCTTCAAATACCAATAGTAGTTACTGTTGGCAATATTTGAGGTAATATGATTACCTCGTTTTCTTAGGTATTGTAAGATTACTAAGGTAGTTTTTTTTATTACAATTTTAACCCTTATTAATAAAATTTTAGTACAATAATACCCTTATTTTTAAATTAATTTACATAAATATGGCTTTTACTATTTCACCCCAATTAATTAACTTTTTGGACAAAATTACCCCTGAATTCAAAACAAATTGTAGCCCACCCAAGCCAGCACCCCCACCTACCTGCCGCCATTTGCTACTGGCAACCACCATCAGAACGGCGCATGGAAGGCCGAAAATGGCCGTTATGCGCCGATATGGCCATTCCGGCCAAAGATCTGGTCGGAAATGGCCAGATCGTGACAGATCTAGTCGGAATGTGGCCGTTGACGGCCAGGCCAATGAATCTAGTCGGAAACAAGCAGATTAGATATGGCCGTTTTCTGGCTAGATCTGTCACAATCTGGCCATTTTCGGCCAATTCTCTGGTCGAAAATGGCCATACGGCGCACGGAGGCCATTTCCTACCTTCCATGAGCTGTTAGGTTACCAATTGCGGTGGCCGGCGGTGGTTGCTAACGGACAACAGTGGTTGGGTTGGTGGGGGTGCATTGCTGATTTTTCAAATTTTTATCATGGGGTTGTTTTTGCTAAGTTTTTAAATATAGGGGGGTTATATAATGCAAATAATAATATAAATAACAATATTAAATAATAATAATATTTAATTAGAGGACAATTTAGCAATTTAAATAACATACCTACCAATCTATTCCTCCCAACCAAACATATTAATAAAATCAATAATACTAGATGTATAAACAAATCTTACAAAGATTTGTATACAAACTGATACGACATAAAATGAATGAAAGAGTGAATATAAAAAGTCAATTCTTCTATTTATTTTGTGCCATATCAGTTTATACACAAATTTTTGTAAGACTTGTTTGTATATGTAGCATTACTCTAATAAAATATACCCGTCAATTTATTCCAACTAACCAAATATTTTTTCCTAAAGATTTCAGTAATCTTAAAAATAATTATTTTTATCCATATTCCCAATCCTATTCTCCAAATAATGTTTGGCACATTATTCCATAAATATTACCCTATTTTTTTAATTACTTTTAGACCCCATAAGGTTATTAATTTCACTAAATGCCTCCTGAATTTTTTTTTTTAAAATTAACAAAAACCACCCCCCATCAACCCAACTTGTCAGATTCCGGCAACCACCGCCGGTGATAGCCGGAATCTGTATAACGGCCTAAATTCTGACCATAAATGGCCGAAATTACATCGATCTGGCCGTCAGCGACGACCAAAGAAATGACCATGGCCGTCGTTTTGGCCTTTTCGGCCGTCGACGGCCATAACAGGCCGTAGATCTGGCTTTTTTTGGCCAGATCCGTGATGGATCTGGCCGGAAAAGGCCATAATGATGCGTTACGGCACAGATCCGATCGGTCTGTGCAGTAACGAAATTTTCGGCCAGATTCCGACGGTGGCGGCCGGAATCTGACACTGCAGGTGGTGGGGGTGTTTTTGTCATTTTATATAGTAGGGTCTTTAATTAAATTAGTAAACCTAAGGGTTTTTTCATAAATTTTTTAAATTTACCTCGTAATACTCCCCTATCCAATAATCTAATACTATCCTCAAAATCTTATCCAAAATACTATACCAAATGCATCCCTAACATTCTCAATAATCCAATATTCTCTTAACCAAACGTATCCTTAAAAGTAAATGATCGACCAGAAATTATTTCTAAGAAATTTAAAGTTTACACATATTAATAATCACGTGATATATGCTAGAGGTAATGTAAATTATTTTCGTAGAGACTTTTTTCCGATCAAGATGACTTATCATCACCCATTTGCTTTAACTTCAAAATTTAAAGCCAACCAAAAAATAGATAAATAACAGAAGGGCAGTGTTGTAATAAAAGAGAAGAGTGATGCTAATTTGGGGAGATAATAACACAAGTACAAGAAGGCTAAGCAGCACTAGTTTGTGTTTATGTCTCCAAGTTTGAAGTGGCTGAACTTAAAAAACGGCATTACCGGAAATAGTGAATCTGACAAAAGAAAAGGGAGGGCCAAATAAAACATTCCTCTAATTTTAGAAAAAACCTCTTCTCAACCATCCAATCTCTTGTTGATTCTCCACTATATCTCTCCTTTGGATCTGCCCCTTCTTTCTGTTTCTGCTTTTCATTTTCATTTTCGTTCATTGCTTTTGTTTCTTCACTTTGCTAAAGTTGTTTACTGTTACACATATACTCTCCTTCTTCAAACCAACACTCACTATATAAATTTTCTTCATTTTCGTGGGTTTTCTTCATCTGGGTCACCTTCTCCTGGACCACAACACGTGAAAGGTGAGTTGGTTTTTTGTTTTTTAACTCCTTTTTACCTATAGGTTTTCTGTTTTTTGCATCCATATGCTGTTCTTGTTTTTATGAATTATTCTGTTTTATTGATTTGTTTATTATGTTTTGTGGGTAGTCACGTAAGTTTATTTTGGTTGAAGTTATCTTTAAATCCTAGAGGTTACTGGGTTTTCATTTATTAAAGAAATATTGCTTGGTTTCAAGAGATTTTGTTTATGCTTTCTCTTTCTTGAACTCCTTGAGTTCCATTTTCAATTGATTTATGCCATTCAAGATTCCTTTTGTTGTTTATTGTTGTGAATGTGTATGCAGTCTGTCCTTGTTGTCCAGACTGTTTTTGTTTATGTGGTTGAAATTAAGAGACGTGCAGTAAAGATGAATATTTGAGAATGAAAAGCACAAAGAATAGAAAAGGAACTTTCTTTTACATTACTTTTTGCCCTCTATTCTATTTCTGTTAGAAAGCAATCTGGTTTAAAGAGGACTCATATTGCGTCTTTTTCCTCAGTTTTTCTGTTTCTAAATTGTGAAGTAGAGAAAATTTACAAGAACAGAATTTGTGTAGATTGAAAGTAAATTGTGTACGGCGTCATAGTTAGTTCTTTCATCTTTGTAACTGTTATTTCTTCACCTGGAAATTAATGTAAATCTGCAGATTAACTAAGTGGATATGAACACACCCATCTTGGTTTCTAATCCTTTTATATGCTTTCTGGAAACAACATCTTAATATAGCCAAGATTGTATTATGTGCTCTGATCAATACTTGTTTTGTTTGTTTGATGTAAGCTTTGATCCGAATGTTTATTTTGAATTTATACTTTTATCTGTAAGATGGGGATCTAGCAATTTGAATTGTTTACTTATTGATGGTATGAAAACAGAAATTTGGATTTAGATTTATAGAATTGCCTAATATCCTTCTAGGTGTTGACTTTTATCATTGAGCTTGAAAGTCATATATTTGACATAGCAAGTACTTGAACAGATACTATGTTTTAGATGCGTGGAAGTTCTTCTTAGTTATTAACCAAAGGAGAGAATTCAAACACCATTGGATGAAAATCTTTAATTTTCTTTCTAGGTGTTTTATGACGTATGTTTAGAAACACTATTGAGAAAAAGAGGCCACTAGTGTGGTTTCTAGATCAGAGTTCATTTTTCTAATCTGAACCAATCCTTTTAAATTAGTTATCATGCCTTATCGCTTAATATACGCTACACAACCTTCTAGATCTCTCCCACCTTGTTTTAAAAAAAAAAAAAAAACTCATATTGGTATGATATATTACTTTTCTGTTGTAAAACCTAACAATGATATGCTTACACTGTTTCAGTGATATAGTGCGACAAGAAAATACAATGAATTCTGAAGGAGATTTTAATGTAAGTTTTGGCTATCAATGTAATGGCCATGAAAGTGGCTCCTGTGAGGTACCCAACAAATGTGTAATTGTGCCTGGACTTCAACTCCATAAGACTAGCAGTTTCTCTTGCTTGTCTGGTGCTGCCTTGAGTGCCAATGCCACATTGGCCAATACAAATATCTGCAATGGTTTGATAGCGGCAGAAATACTTCCGAGTTTGGACTCCCCTACTTCATTTCGTCGGGTTCCCTCATCACCAAGTTGTTCAAGATTAGATATACTATCATCTTCTCTCCAAAGCAGTATGTCAAACCTAAGTTGCAGTCCATCTTCTCCAAGTGATCCACCTGAATATGATTCTTATATGTTGAAATCCATGAGTCAGAGTGCACCTTCGAGAAGTGAAGGTTTTCTTAATGCTATGGAAGTGCAGATGGCCGGTGGAGCAGCTGGTGAGGACAGGGTTCAAGCTGTTTGTTCTGAAGAACATGGGTGGCTCTTTTGTGGAATTTATGATGGTTTCAATGGAAGAGATGCAGCTGATTTTCTGGCTGGGACATTGTACGAAACTGTATCGTATTACTCTAATTTAGTTGAATGGGAATCAAAGAGCGATGCCATCAGAGCGCCTGATGGTTTGGATTTGGATGGGTCCCTGCAATATATTCTTGAGGATAGCAGTACCAGTCCTGAGGGAAACTTTCCTTCAAGCAAGAGTAGTAATAAGGATTTAAGTGTTAAAAGTTTTGGCAACGAAAGTCTTTGTCCTAAAATGGAAATATCTTGTTCACATCGCCAGGCAGTGCTTGATAGCCTCCAACGTGCTCTTATTCAAGCTGAGAATGATTTTTTGCACATGGTTGAGCAGGAAATGGAGGAACGCCCTGATTTAGTTTCCGTGGGTTCATGTGTTTTGGTTGTGCTTATTCATGGCAATGATTTGTACACACTCAATCTAGGTGACAGTAGAGCTGTATTGGCAAGTTATGATGAAAGAAACGACTTAAGTGGGAACAAGTGGCTGAAAGCTATTCAGCTCACTGATAGTCACACTGTTGATAATGAAACTGAAAGAACTAGAGTAATTTCTGAACATCCCGATGACCCCGCGACAATTGTTGCTGGAAAAGTGAAAGGAAAATTGAAGGTTACTCGTGCTTTTGGAGTTGGTTACTTAAAAAAGGTAGATATAAAATACTGTGCTTTGACTTGTTATTTCCTTATTTCTTACCACTCTGACTTTTACAATGGAATATATCAATTTGGAGCCTTGGGCCTTTACCTTAATGCAACTTTTATAGTGCTGATTTGGTGTATCTTCTGTAACAGACTAAAATATATATATGTATTTTTCAATCTGTAGGAAAAACTGAATGATGCTTTAATGGGTATCCTTCGAGTTCGTAATCTCATAAGCCCTCCTTATATCTCCACACAACCATCACTTAATGTGCTCAAAATCACGAAGAATGATCATTTTGTTATAGTTGCAAGTGATGGTTTATTTGACTTCTTGGGCAATGTGGAGGCGGTAGAGCTTGTCCATTCTTATGTCTTGAGCAACCCTTCTGGTGATCCAGCAAAGTTTCTATTAGAACACCTTGTTGAGAGAGCAGCAGAGTGTGCAGGTAAGCTGCTCGATATCTTTGGTCCTTATCAAACATTTGTTTTCTTGTCATCTCGACTGCATACTGGTTGTTTCTAAACTTTCTCTTTCTGATATTGTATTTACATACAAAAATCCAAACTTTAATATAATGCCTTAAGTAGTTGAGTTCTCTTATAAAAAAATATGGATCAAGTCAATCTTCAATTTAGATGGTATATTCATTGTAGTATAACTTGTTACAATATCTGCAAATTTTCATATTCCCAAATGTTTGATTCCCAAATGGAGGGGTTCAGTTTTTCTTTATCTTCTTATAGAGTTAGGAACATTGGAACGAACTCTTAGCTTTTTTCATGTTTGGAGTGACATAAAATGAAACCTGCATATATGCTATTTGTGAGAAGTCAAAAGTCCAATATTCACAAGGAGAATGAAAAAAAAAAAAAAAAAAAAAAGTTGAAACTGATAACTTATGCTTGCAGGTTTCAGTATGGAAGAATTGATGAGTATTCCAGCCGGTATGAGGAGAAAATATCACGATGATGTAACCGTAATTGTTATTATGCTTGGAACAAACCAGCGCACGTCAAGGGCATCAACTTGCCTGCAAGTTTGATGTGAACATTGCCTGTGTTCAACTTGTCATTTAATAGGCTTGGCCTTATTGCTTTGGCTTGAAAGTGTATATAATATATAGTTAGATGTCACCATTCTCTGTCTTCAACCACTGGATTTGATAGTTTCAACTTTGTGATTGTAGCTATGGTTTTGAGGTTGTATATATGGCTGATGGCAGAAACTCTTGTTTCTTCATTATCTGTATATCGCCACCCAATTTTTGTATGACACTCTACATATGAATAAATTTCTGTAATTTAGTGAATTGGGCCTCCTCATTTGATTACTGAAAATTCTCTCTTGAAATATTACTGGAATTTGTTGATTGAGAGGATATTCAGGCCATATTCAAGTGTGCCGAATGGGGTAATTACTTCATTGGATGGACTAAACTATATGTGAAATATTAATTGCTTCATATATTTAACATCCTTTTATTTTTTTATCAAATGAATGGTGCAATAACATCATTTAGTCTCAGCTTCCATCATCAACATTCAACAGGATCCCACTTGTTTCTGCCACTTCATCATTTTAGCTTTGCCTGGCCTTTCGAGTTTGCAAAATTGAAGTCAGAACTGGATTTTGCTTATTCTTTAAGGATTTTTCTTTTTTGTGACTTTATTTCATTGGTTGTATGAGTTTCCCGACCCACAGACAAAAAGATGGGCCATCCTGATCTCAAAAACCTCTTCAGTTCTTTAAAAGTTGCTTTATAATTTTACTATTGACCGAAATATGCAGGGCTGTGGAATTACCTTTGACATTGACAACTGCAACTCTCTAAATAAGAACTAGTTTAAACGAGGGTCATTGTCTTTGCCCTAATGTTTGGCCTTAATTAAAAGTCAATTTTTGACAAACAGAAAGTCACCCTTAAAAGATTATATCAATTTACATCATTATGCTTATTCTAAATGGGTAGTTAGCAAAATCAAAATCATTACCTGATACTTTGCATATTATTTTTGGTAAGAAACGTTGGATACCCAAGTCTTGTTTAATTTATTAATGCTTCATTTTATAAGAATATTCCTGCAGAAGAATTTATTAAGGTATTAAAGAATGGCATTATGAAAATTGGCTGACACATCTAACAGTGATCAATTTAGTCAAATGTTAACTACTTCTGGGTGATCGCGTGGTTTAATAGAGATTCTTGTATATATTATTCAAGAAGTCTTGGGTTCGAATCCTTCCTCGGTTGTTAATAAGGGTAATCATTAAAACCTTTATCTGACCGGTAATTCCAAAGTTCTAAAGGATAAGTTGAGATGTACATAAGACATGAACACCCTTGGTCGTCCAAAAAAAAAAAAAAAAAAGTTTAGTTGAATGGTTCTCCTTTGTAGCCAGTGACATGAGAATGCTTTTATAAAAATTGTTCTCAAACAAGTCAATCACTGGGAGTGTTTGTAACTTAAAAAGAGGTTCTGTTGTACTTCTTGTAAATACAGTTATGCCAATTTGATGGAACCTATTGAGTTGAGTGAACTATTGATGAATTGGGTTCAGATTGTGAGTGAATAAAACCAAAGGCAAGCTGGCAACGAATGTTTGCTACAGCTTTACAGGACAATTAGTTTCTGCTTCCGAGTGAATAATAAATCCTAACTGAATTGTTCCTTTTCCTAAGCATCAAAATGGGGTGTAGTTCATCATTTTTTACAACTTGAACATTGTTGTGCTGTTACATGACAAGAAAATTCTCTCCAACAATGGGAAAGTAAGACTGAACTAAACCTTTCCAACCCCATTTTGCACAAAGCTTCCAAAACTGCATTGTGCCAGAACAATCTCCAATCACATTTGTCTAGAAAGAAATGAAGATGCAGATCAATTTGCAAATTCATGACTTCATAGTCCATCATCCTGATGGGACTTCCTTCAAGCCAGTTATAAAGTAATCCCTGATGTATAAGGTTTACTTAGTTCTCTCTGGGCTCTAGTTGGTCAGTCTACTAGACAACAGTTCATGGCAGGCCATGAAATTTGAAAAGTTGCTATGGGTTCGGGATTGTGTAAGAGTTATTTTCTCAGGTTTCTCAAGGCTTTCTTCTTGAAAATTCTCTGTTATTTTAGAAATTGGTAAATATCGCAGATTGGTTGAGAAGATAATAAAAGGACATCAAGATATCTTCAAACTAGGGAAGGCGAAGAAAAAATCTATGCGTGCTTGAATAGAAACCTAGGCAGATCACAAGTCCATGTCTCAATTTATTCAAATGAGACTTCTGTCTGGACAACATGGCAATAACAGATTTGAACAAATACAACGATTATGATTTGGATTTGGATAGATAGAGGGACACCAAATTTCCTGTGAGAGCGCAGAGTAAAATAAATTAACATAGAATTGAAACCAATCTAGTTTTCATCCTTTTTAGCGTCATCCTCCACTGGGGAAGAACAGACTTCCCCATCTTTTTCATCAACCTTGGGATCTTGGACCTCTTTGGCATCTCCTGAAACATCCTGCAGCTGCAAAAGTTCATAAAGCATTACTTAAGGTGTTATTGTTGAGCTCTAAAAAGTTTGGAAACAAATAGTCTAGGAAAGCATTTAAAGATAGCTCTCAAGATTTACATACCCCCAAATTTCTGAGACTAGCAGTAACATCATCTTGTTGTTGCTGGAGAGTGCTCCTCAAGTCTTGAAATTCCTAATTTCATTCAGGGAAAAAGTATTTAAGCAAATATAATTTATCAAAAAATGAAAACTTAAGAGAGACATTATAGGAGCACCACTCACTGATCGAAGTTGATCAACTTCAACACTCAGTGATTTCTTCATTTCAGACAGCTCCTGCAATTAAGTAAAACAAAATTTTCATCAAGAAAACAGATAATACACATAAACCACTTGTCCTATGAGATAAATTGGGTATTTAACCAAAACAAAGAAATAAAAATGAAAAAAGTTCATTCTCGTTTTCATTCATTTCTAGTCATTGAAAAGCATTATGTTATGAGACATACTTGTTTGTCAAATGCAAGAATTTTCCTAAGTGCCAAGTTTCTGCAATTTGGCTAAAGATACATAAGATCCAAGCAGTTGCATAAATCCTTATGCATTGGTCTCTGGCAGAAAGCATAACAGATTTAAGGTGAATTTATCAATCCCTTCAACACCCAGTTAGATATATAGAAATTCTTAAAGTGTCTTTGGGGTCATAGTGAAACCACATGACTAGAAATCTGAGATTCAATGAACATGCTCACCCACATTTCTGCTCTCTATCTGCCCTTTATGGTCTAAGATTTCTGTATTTCAAATGTTTGCTTCATTTTAAATAATCAAAAGCATGCCATAATTTTTGTTTTAACCTGAATTAGTTAACCAAGTGTTTCTCTGTCACAAGTCAAAACCGTGGTGATGAAAACATAACCCATAGTTTTAAGTCATACATTTCTCCAATAGGGAGATTAATGCCAACAAAGCAAACATATAAAATGGAATTAGAATAGAGTAGAACTGGATATACTAATCTCAATCTTCCCTAAAACACCATCTCCAGTTCCATCTACGTCCAATTTTACAATCAAACTTCATGCCTCCAAACAAAACCTCACTCAATTTTCCTTCCCCATCTAGACAACATCATAAACACAACTCTCAGTACGACATGATCAATGTAAAGCAACAAATTTCCAAACCAGAAAAAACAGCTAAATCCATGCACATGGAAGTATGGAACACAATGTAATAATGAGAAACAGGAAAAGACACTAACACAAAGAGCCAAGAAACTCACATCGCGGTAGATCTTGACTTGAGTGTCTAATTTTGATCTCCAGTTTTGCAAATCCTACGAACCAAATACATACATCCATATATTATTGCAATCAAATATGAAGAAAACACAAAAACAACAATGTTATGATAAATAATAATAAAACATTATTTAAATTCACCTGCTTGAGCCCTTGAATTCTATTAAGCAACTCTGCCCTCGATTCATTCAATTCCTAACAACAAATAATAATAATAATAATTTAATTCTGTAGCTGCTTAACCCACTTAAAAAAAAAAAAAAAAAAAAAACCCTCAAATGAAAAACATACGGTGATTTTAGAGCCAATCGGAGTAATATTTTCTTTCTTCTGCAAAACCAACATAAAAAACAAGTAATAAAAAAAAAAAAAAGAAATAAAGCAGATCTAAGCTTGTAGATAATGAAACAAAGAGAGAGATAAAGCGCACGGGTACGAGTGGAGCAGAAACGGGGACAGAAGGAGTAGAATCAGCGTTGGTGGCCATTAGCAGAGACGGGATCGAATTCGAATTTAAAAAAAGAAAAAATTAAGTAAGGGTTTATCTAGGGTTTAATTGAAGATTAGATTTAATTAAACAATTAATAAAGACAGGTTTAACGCGTTGTGGTTAATTGAGAAGTAAACTGAGTTCTGAGATGAAGATGTAAGAAGGAGGAGAGAGTGAGTTTGTTAGATGAAAGATTTGAAAGAAAACCAAATGGAGTTTGAATTTTGGAGTAAGAAATGTGTTTGGGCGGGCAAATGAAATGTAAAATCCTAATTAAATCAGATAATAATACATCAATCAAGCTGCACCAGTGGGACCCCTCCTTGTTTTTGGTACACGTGGCTTCCGTTTACTTGTTAAACTTTTATAAATATAAATATATTTTAAAATAATACTTAACTTATAATATTTTTATACGTTTCTCATATAATATTATACCGTGATAAAAGATGTTCAAGTAAAATTTTATTTTAATTTAAAATCAACAAATCATTGTTGAATGCAAAATAATAAGCTAAATGGTTAGAAAATGAAAAGCCGTGAGGTTTGAAGCAAACATTTGATAACTTTCTTTCAAGAAGAACAAAATTGGTCAAAGCTACTCAAGCTTGTCTCGGTAGGCCTAAACATGAAGTCCAAGGTAGAATTGTGCATAATGATATGATATCAGAGTGCATTTGAAAGGTTTTGGGCTTATAAAGAGAGAGTATCTCTATCTAATTAGTTAGTCTTTTGAGTGTAAAACTCTCAACCAGTGATAATGATATCAAAGCAAACTCGATCCGTCTTTTGATGTCGCCCACGTGTGATAGTGGGTCCACTTAAAAGTGAGATGGACAGGTAGGCAGGGGATGTCATAGGGGTGGGAGAGAATGTCAAAGATCCTATATAAGAAGCGAATTGTGGAGGTTTTGAGCTTATAAAATGGTAGTTTCTCTATCTAATCGGTTAACCTCTTTGGATTAAAACTCCTAGCCCGTGACATACAACTAAGAGGTCTAATTCTGAATGATAACTTAGTAGCCCAATACTTGAGGTTAATGTATATTGTATAATAATTATTCAAAGAAAGCTAATATAATACTTGGTTGAACACACGAAAAAAACTATCCAGCTTTAACAACTGTCATTCAACTACTTTAACAGTTATTTCCCACTACTTAAGAGTATCTCCAAATGACTCTTTATGAGTCCGTTTGTTTTAATAATTTTACACTATCCTATTCCTATAATTCTGAAAATACACATTTGTTTCCCTATTCTAAAAACCCTATTCTATTTTATTCAATTACTTTTAAACCCATAGGTTTGTTAATTTAACTAAACACCCCCCAAAAAAGTTTAGAAATTGATAAAAACACCCCCACCCACCCATGTTTGCTAGATTTCAGCCACCACTGCCGAAAAGTGGCTGGAATCTGGTATAATGGTGCACTACCGATTAGATCTGGCCGGCAGTGCATCGATGTAGTCTTTTTTGGCCCGATCCACCGTGGATCTGTAGCTAGCCGTCAATGACGACCATATCTTTGGTCGTCGTTGACAACCAAACGCGGCCAGATCTAGCCGTAGATCTGGCATTTTTCGACTATATCCATGGTGGATCTGGCTGAAAAAAGCCATCTTGGCGCACAACTGGCCAGATCAAGCCAGTCGTGCTTTGATACAGCGACTCCGGCTACCCTCCGATAGTGGTGGCCGACTGCCAGTATTTAATGAGTGGGTGGGGGTGTTTTTGTAATTTTTAATGTTTTTATTACAAGGGTGTTTAGTAAATTAACAAACTTAGGGGGTGTTTTTGTTAATTTTCAAATCCTACCTCGTTATTTTCACCCAATTCTTACTTTTTCAAAAATATAAAACAAACGGACCCTATATGACTCTAACTTTTTATTATAAAGAATTTATCCATAAAAACAAGAGTCCAACATACTTTTTATATTTTAAATATGAATTAAAGAGTGAGTTTGACTCTCCACATCTAGAGAGTCAAATTTCACTCTCTATCATAATTTTAGAGCATCTCCAAAGGACTTCTTATATGACCCAAACTCTTTATTATAAAGAGTCTATCCATAAAAACAAGAGTCCAACAGACTCTTTATCTTTAAAATATAAGAGTATCTTCAAATGACTCTTTATATGATCCAAACTCTTTATTATAAAGAGTTTATCTATAAAAATAAGAGTCCAACAGACTCTTTATCTTTAAAATATAAATTAGAGAGTGAGTTTGACTTTCCACATTTAGAGAGTCAAATTTCACTCTCTATCCTAATTTTAATTAATAAACTACAAGTTCTTATGCCTTTTATATATTAATTCTCTCTCCCATTAGGTCTTTTTCTTAAAAATAAAGAGTATCTTTATTAAATTTAAAGAGTCTATTGGATTTGAATAAAAATTGTGTTCTTTATATTTTAAAATTAATGAAGATGCTCTTTATTTATATGAAAGATGCTCTTCAAAATAAAGAGCACCATTGGAGATGCTATAAATTAGAGAGTGAGTTTGACTCTCCATATTTAGAGAGTCAAATTTCACTCTCTATCATAATTTTAATTAATAAACTACAAATTCCTATACATTTTATTTATTAATTCTCTCTCTCATTAAGTATCTTTCTTAAAAATAAAGAGCATCTTCATTAAATTTAAAGAGTCAATTGGATTTGAATAAAGATTGTGTTCTTTATATTTAAAAATTAATGAAGATGCTTTTCAAAATAAAGAGTACTATTGGAGATGCTCTTAGTTAATAAATTACAAATTATTTCTCCTATTAAGTCTATTTTTTTTTTTTTTAAATGAATTCACTTTCCTAAAATTTAAAGAGTCTATTGGATTTAAATAAAAATTTTGTTCTTTATATTTATAAATGAATGAAAATGCTCTTTATTTATATGAAAGATGCTCTTTAAAATAAAGAGCACAGTTAGAGATGCACATTTAGATGGTTAATTTACAGTTAATTCAACTTATTAAAAGGTACTTACCTAATAAGTAATAAATGAGAAAGAGCAAATGACATAATCCCACCCGAAGTTTGGGAAAATCCCAAGTTGGTACTCCTGGTTCAATTTATCCCGTTTTGCCACTCTTAATCTAACACCGTTCGCTTGGTTTTAATAGCAAAAGGGTAAAAACGATATTTAAGATAAATTAATTCAAATAATAAAGAAACCTAGGGAAATGTTGCAAATTAAATTCAAATAATAAAAAAATAATAAAGAAGCCTAGCAAATTGTTGCAAAATGTGTAGAGAAAGATAAGTATGACGGCTGAAGTTATTGCAAATGTCATCTTTCAAACGAAAATGCTTATTTTTTTTTTTTTTTTTTTTTTTTGAAAAACTAACCCATAGACATTAACCCACGAACCTCATCACTTATGCAACAAAAATGGCAGCCATTAATCCTTCTGACCTTGTTCCCATCCCATAGTCAAACTCGTAAGCTTACCAGATATGGTCTCTCACCACCGCTTTGACTCCTTAACAAGATGAACAAAATGAATATTCTAATGAATATCTTTATCTCCTCCTCATCCTTTTAGCTAAGGCCCTCTCTTTCAGGGCTCACCAAATCCTTGTCGCTTGGTTTTTCTGCTTTGACTCCCAAACGAGATGAACAAAATCATTCATACGCTTATCATCTTCATCAGTGGCATTTGGTGAAAATGGTTAACTGTAAACCGACATCAACGACAATCGTAAACCTGTGAATACGAAACGACAACCAGACCTAGACCCATTAACCCGAAAGCATCGTACCGGTCGCATAGACACAACCTTGGGAGGAATACGAGCCATCAACGAGAAGTGAAATCTCGCCGGTTAGAGGAAGACGTAAGACGGGTAAAGAAAGACGATGGTTCGAGGAGATGGATGATATGGTGACATGGTCTGCGGCAAGGTATATCGACAGTTTATTTACATATTTTTTGTATATGGTTTGTGCTGGATTTTTCTGTGGATTGGTTTTTTGGTTATGTGTTTGGTGGTGGTGATTGGTGTTAGGGTTGTGGTGGTGGCGTTAGGGTGGTTATTGAGTGGTGGTAGATGGATTAGTGGTGCATGTTTGCTGGTTCAATGGGGGTATGTTGGTGGTCAGTTGGTGACGATGATTGTATGATGGCATTAGGGTGGTTGTTGGGTGGTGGTAGGATGGTGATGGTGGTAGTAGGGGGCTTTAGGATTAGGGTTTTGGTGTAGTGGTGGTTTAGGATATTGGTGTTGCATGGCAGTGTTAGTATTGGTAGTGGTGTGTATATGGTGATATAGTGGTGATATAGTGGTGGTACAGTAGTGGTATAGTTGACAGTGGTGTTAGGGTGACTTTCGGTATATTGGCTGGAAACCAGTAACTGTCTTAAATGCTGCCTAGCAGTGGTTGACAACTTCTAATGTAACAATGCCACATGTCGAGGGTGGTGGTATGGTGGTGATGGTGGTAATAGGGGGCTTTAGGATTAGGTTTAAAGTTTTGGTGTAGTGGGGGTTTAGGATATTGGTGTTGCATGGCAATGTTAATATTGGTGGTGGTGTGTGTATGGTGGTACAGTGGTGGTAGAGTTGATGGTGGGGTTAGGGTAATTTTTGGTATATTGGCTGGAAACCAGTAACTGTTTTAAATGTTGCCTAACAATGGTTGACAACATCTGGTGTAACAATGCCACGTACCTTGGGTAATGGTTTGGTGGTGATAGGGTGGTGATGGCTGTTGTAGGGTGGTGGCAGTTGATTTTTTGTTTATAATTGCTTGGTTGTGTTTGTTTATGCAGGCTGAAACCAAATTACTATGACTTTAAAGTTGAAGTGTTTAGTTTAGAATATGATATACTAAATGTTGATCCGGATAAGTATAGTTACATATGTTTTATTAAAGATGTGAAACGATGTGTGGCTTCGGAGAATGAGGTTGTCAAAATAAACCCTTATGAGAAGTTTAAGGTAGAAGTTGAGCTACCCTTGTCAGGGGCTAGATACATAGTGGAAAGAGATGATGATATGAAATTCATATTTGAGCAATATAAGAGTTTTGGCAAGCGAGTGATAAGGGTCTATGTAGAAGCCATAACAATGGACTTTGTTGAACCTATAACTTTTTTAGAAGCCCAACCAGAGGACAGTGAGGGTTTTGTGAGGCAGGATAATGAGGAAGCTGAAGAGGGTATTCCAGATGAGTTCTATTGGAGTGCGAGTGTTGAAAGTGATGAAAGTGATCATGAAGAAGGCCATGAGAGTGGGCAGGATG